TTTCTGGATAATAGATAAATCCCCTAAAGTTTCAGTCATAATCCCCCAAAAATTTCATTACAAAACCTGAACTATTACTACCCAAAAAGTACATCTCATTCTGACTTAATAATTTTCTGATCATTATATAATTAGATTTTTAACTAAACATTTTAAAAGAATGAGAACATTTATAAGGTAATCTCATTTATAAGGTAAATCTACTGCAAAATAATCCACACGTGAATCAGAGTTGCGTCGTAATTGAAAATTTTTTTTCGTAATCGTAAATCGTAATTTAAAAAAATTTTTCGTAATCGTAATTCGTAACTGAAAAAATGCCGTAATTCGTAATTCATAATTTTTTAAAAATATTTGAATTAATTTAAAAAATCAAATATCTATTAATAATTGCTGCTTCTCCCATTAATCTCTCCAAGTCCTCTTATTTCTCTGATATTATTCAAATCACAATTAATCCCTGATATCCCTCTTAATCCTAATAATCCTCCGATATCTCTTCAATCAATGATGCGGAATTATTGTCCAGATTAAAGTTTGATATCATGTGAAATCCCTCTCACTTAATCCTGAGCCGAAACTCTTATATTTTCTGCGTTGCAGGCGAAAATTTTTAGAAAATTCATGACTAAATTAAAAATTTTAAAGTTTTTTCAATTAATTTTATTTTTTTTTTAATTTTAAGTTTTTTTAGTTTTTAAGTTTTTAATTTTAAGTTTTAAGTAAATAAACAAAAATTATTAACCTATTGAATACTCCAAAATCACCTTTGAATAAAGAATGAGCTAACTGTTAAACCTGATAAATGAGTGAGGCATGTAAAGAGAAGTTTTGTAAATATGTGTTCTTTATAGCTGATTTAGACTTCTATAGGTCTTAGGTAGAGTTACTGGGTAGTGCTAAATGAACCGATGATTTTTCGGTTCGTCTCCTCTGGTTAATTACAGATATCAAAAGATTCTCCAAAAACTCAAAAACCTAGTCTTAGCAAAATCGGAAAAAAACCACGAGAAAAATAGGAAAACTTTCCACGTTAAAACTGTCAATTTTTTGTCTTTCTACGAAGTGTCGACATGTGTTAGTTATTTTTAATTTGACTGATAATGTTCAGTCATGCAAAAAATATCCTTTTTCAAATAGCTCAGCCACCTTACTTTATTGTGTTACGTTTATTTATTAAATATGGTTAATGTAATTTTTTCTAAATTCTTACTTTTAATAAAATCTATCACTTAGACACTTCTACCCTCACAAATCCTAGTAGCTAACGATAAAAACTGAGTTTAAATGATGAAGGGGAGCTTGAATAGTCAACAAAAAATCAACAAGAAATGATAATTTTGACTGTGTTAATCAGCCATACAAAAATAAAGATATCATCCATTGTGTCGACGATAAAAGTTATTTTAATCATAGATTTATATACAAATAATTTTGAAATAATAAATATTTTGCAAAATGTAAAATAATTAAAAATAATTCTCAACAAAAAATAATGACGAAAAAATAAATTTAAATTTTTTACTCTTAACAAACAAAGGTGCCCGCAGTTTTGACTTTTTTGTTTAAAAAACCTTTCACAAATTTCAACACATCTGGTAAGCTAAAGCCTTTCCTTGTGTCTACAAGTTAACTAAGCTAATCACCCCTTAACCAAACAAAACTCTAAAAATGGATAGACAAAAAATATTTTCAAGTATAATTTAATGGCGTGAAGCCTCCATTGTTTATGAATAAAAAGAAGAAAAATAGAAGTCATTTTTTAAAAAATTATTAAAAAGTGGCTTGGAAGAAACGCAATTTTCTTTATTTAATTTTAGTTATTTGCTGGAAGAAATTTCAGCATCCAAAAAATAAAAGACACGTTCGCACGACATTCTATAAATTAACTCAAGCGAAATCCCTATATCATTAAACTAATTAATTAAAAAAATATTAAGCAATTTGAACAGTTACACTTTGTGAGGGTGTACATGTTTAATTTGCAATGTAAACTAAGCAATTAAGCAGAGTTTAAAGATAATGAAATTGCATAAAAATAGAGAATAAAGATAAGCAATGCTTGGCTTCCAAAAAATAAAATTTTGAATTTGAATAAAAATATTTTATTGTAAACGAACTGCTCGGCATTAATATCAATTAATTAAAAAATTTTGGTTGAAATGCAAATTTAATGTTTAAATAAAAGTCATTTGTCGTAGGTGCATAATTATTTTTTTGTAAGTCAAGCAAAGCTTGGACTAATTTTTTCAATATACCGTATTTATTCTAATAGTGGCCTCTCGTTGAATAGCCGAAAGCAAAAAGAAAGCTGAAGTAAGTATAGATATAATAACGGGTTAAATAATAACGGGTTAAGAACATTATGTGACAAACTGAGCTTTAGCAGCATAGAAACAATAAGTACAACATAAAATACAGTTGTTTACTAATTATTTACACAATATATATTATTTTAATTAAGATTATGTAAATATTGCATAAAAAACAAGACAGTATGTTGCTGATTTGAGATACATGTCATTTTTTGGAAGTTGGGAAACCCAGCTATAGAAGTTTATTGCCGCAAACAAAAAACTTATAATATGTAGATGTTGTGGTGACAAAAGATAACCTTTGTTTCTTTTTGTCATAACTAGGGAGTGGCAAAATATGCACGGAAAATCCCAAAATATGCGCATATATATGCACCGAAAAAGCCCAAAATATGCACCAAAATATGCAAAATTTGCGAAAATATGCACTAAATATGCAGCAAAAATAATGAAAATATGCTTTAAAAATAAATATTAAACTTAAAAAATACTAAATTAGCATCTAAATTGCAGCTTAAGAGCATTTCTAAATGATTTTATGAACTTAAAATTTAACCAAAAATATTTTTTTGAAAAAAATTCATCGCGAAAAATTTTTCAAAAAAATTTTTTCGAAAAATTTTCATTAAAAAATTTTTTTCCCAAAAAATTCCTAAATTTTGAAAATTTTGCCCGATTTTTACTAAAATTTCACAAAAAATGCCAAAATATCCACAAATTTAGGTAAAAATATGCAAAATTTCCCAAAATATGCATCGATATGCAAATACGCACGAAAGTACCGAAATATGCAAAAATATGCTATAGGAACCCGGTCCCTAATAACCGTACCGACGTAAAAACACCATTTTTGAGCATTTCAGCTCATGGCATATCCGCATACAAAATATGCATTTGCATGTTTTGCCACTCCCTAGTCATAACTTTCTTCTAAGTAATAAAAATTAATGATCCTTTAATTTTACTCCTAATACTTTAAGAAAATTGTTTTTAACAAAATCTTATTAAAATTTGATAGTACGTAAGATTAATCGTTGACATTTCGTGTTAGTTTTTAGAGTTTGCCTTGATTCAAGGCAATGAATTGATATGTGAAATGTTTATACATAACATTCGAATTAGCTCCTCAATCAGTTGATTGATGTTAAGGAAGGAGTGCTACCACGTTAATTAACCAATATTTTTTATTTAGATCGCAAATTTTGATTGACTTTGAAGAAAGTTCTGACAAAAAGAAAAAACATAGGCTAATTATGGTTTGCAAAATATATAATATTGTAATATAAATTAAATAATATTACATGACTACTATATTACCATTATTAAAGTATTGATCGATTAGAACAAGAGGGCTCTGAAGAGACCGATTATTGGGTTAGAGAAGTTAGAGAAAAAATTTCTTCTCTTCCCATATAACCGGTCTCTTCAGGCTCTCTTGTTCTAATCGATCAATACTTTGTTAACCCAATCCTATAGGAGGTTGTGGGGGTTGAATGGAGTAGTGAGGGGGATAAGTAAAGCGAGGGCGATTCTGAAGTGATTCTGGGGGTGATTCTGAAGTGATTCTGGGGGTGATTCTGAAGCGATTCTGAGGGCAATTCTGAAGCGATTATGAAGTGATTCTGAAGCGATTCCGCGATTCCGAGGGTGATTCTGAAGGGATTCTGAGGGTGATTCTGAAGGGATTCTGAGGGTGATTCTGAAGGGATTCTGAGGGTGATTCTGAGGGCGATTCTGAAGTCGATTCTGCTGCTCTCAAATGGCCACACTAACAGGCTCGCACTCTAATAGTCGCTACGAATGTCATGCTTTAAAAAGGCACATCTGCACTCAAGCGTCTAGCGCTAAACTGTTCGCACCCAAGCGTATTAATCCCAATAATGGCCTATGCTTTATTGGGGACACGCCAAAGTAGGCGCACGGCCATAACGGCGCAAAGCCATAACTTGCTGAAAAATTTCGGGCCCTTATAAATTTTGATACAAAACGCTTTATCTCGATGAGAGGAATCGTTTAATACTAAATTATATATGATGCGGGAATCTTCAAGCAAGTTATAGCTTTGCGCCGGTATGTCGCGCGCCCACTTGGGCTGTATCCGCTTTATTGATTATGCGATATTATTTTCCTTTTTTCTCACTTTCTTAGCAAAGTGAATCACACTTTTAACAACCTATATTTTATACTAGCAAAAATTGTTAAATGTTGAAAATTTCTATTTTATTTTTTTCAGGGTTTAAACCTGAGTTCGTACAGAACTCTGTATTGGTCGATGTGGAGGGAATTGATTTTTGATGGGTATCTTAGAGATGAGAATCAATGAAAGTATTGTGAAGAAAAGGTTTTTACTGTCCAAACATTAGTACTAACTTAATTCTAAATATTTTGTAGAGATCAATAATTGCGACGAAATTATTCTTTGGGTACCCAACTAAAATCTGTTTTTTTGGACAAAGTGGAGGTAGAAAAAAATGAAAAGAAGACAAAATAATTGATCAATCAAATAGTTTTGAATTTTTGGAGGTTTTCTTTGTTTTATTTTTATAAAATTTTGAAAAAATTTCTTTAAAGAACAGCAACATTGGGACCTTCCAAAGGTTGTGGTGGTTCTCTTAAAGCTTTGGAAAATGAATGGAAGAAATGAAACGTTCCAATAGATCCTCAAACTGAGAATTATTACCCAAATCTTTGTTGTGAACGGAATATTGAGGTAAAAAGCATTTAAGAATAAAATTAGTCAACTTTCAACAATTTTTTTAGACCGAACGTGTAAATCTTATAGAAATTCGTTTAAGTGTATTAAAATTAGAACAAAAAACCTCCACAACAAGAACAAATAAAAATTCTTTTAATGCAACTTTAGCTAATTATGTTGGACTTTCTTTTTTTTGGAAGTCACCTCTTGTTTTGATTATATAGCTATCTATGATGGATCTAAGGTAAAAAATTAACAAATAATTGTTTTTTAATTTACTACAAAAAATTATTTCAAAGGCGACTTCCCCTCTATTACTTCCACCAATTGAGTTTACATTTAACTGACAAGGAATTAAATCCTAATTTTATTCCATCCCATCGGCAAATTGATGTATTTTTCTCTTATGATTCTAGTACAGAATTAGGTGGAACTGGATTTCAAGTAAATTATTTTAAATTTAATTATTAAAAAATATTTTTCAAGGCTGAGTTTAGAGCAATTAAATCTGATTGTGGAGAAGTTTTTTTGGCCGGCCAAGAATGGTCTGCTTTAGTTTTGTTAGTGAGCGGAAACTAAAAAGGACAAATCAACGACATAAACGGCAATTATAATTGAATAATTATAAAAAAATTTTTTTGAAATTTTATTGGTTTTCAGTTGTCATTGGTTCCTCTATACAGAAAAACAACAACATTTGGAAGTTATTTGTGAACAATTTTCTTTTCCAGCAATTAGCGGTAATTGTTTGGATGAATTTTTGGAACTTCGTGATGTTGGGACTTTAAGTGAATGTCAACATCCTGCTTGTGCTACAGAACCATTACAAGAACAAAAAAGGAAAGAAGTAATTGGTTAGTAATTAATTAAAAGAATAGTGGATGTTTAAAGCAGATGTTTAAAAGTAAAAGAATCCGTCCTTTCCCAAGTCTTATATTATTTCTTTAAATAAGTGATTTTCTTTAGATGGATTAAGGTAGTTCCCTCGAAGCTTATTTAATTCCAAAATCATTTTATAAATAAAAACATTATTTATTCCTGTCATTTCCCTTTAATTTATTCAGGCACCTCAACAGTACATTTCAAGTACTTCAGTTATACAATTAACTGCTTCTGTTCTTCTTCAAAGCCAATTCTCTGTCAGTTTTCGTTTTCGAACTTTTTCTGCTTGCAATCGAAGTATTAAAATTGATGGAAATGGTTAAAGAATTACACAATTTGTTAAAAAGTAATTTTCTTCTTTTAGTTCCCGATGGTGTTTTATTAGCTTCTGGATGTATTACTTCTCCCAAATACTCATATTACCCTTATTTGGAAGGTAGAACAATTAAAATTTTCAAATTTAATTTTTTGTAAAGTTTCTTACAAGTTTTAAAATTTTTTAAACATTCACATCGGAAAAAATAATTAAAACTTAACGTTTTTGCCAAAGTAAAAAAATCAGTAAGACTCTCAAGTTAAAAAAAAATTTTTAAATTAATTTTCTAAATTTTTCTTTTTGTTGAACAATAAAAGATCGTTTATGTGATAACTATAAATAAATTCCTAAAACCGAGCAAAATATCTTCACTTAGTTAATTTAAATTCCTTTATAGCATTGTTTTCACTACCACTCGTCATTTCATTAAGCATAGGTTAAGCTATACAAAAGAATTTAAGGGTGTTTATCAATGTAAGCGATCTTTTGTTCGTATAAAAAAATAGGCGTATTTGCTGCAGTCCCCAACTCATTATTCACTAGTTTCATTTTAAAAATTAATTTAGCTAAAAAATTTAATTAAATAAAACAACTTTTAGTTAAGTTTTATATTAATTTAGTGTTAAATTACCTATATGCAATTTTTAAATTTAGAAAAAAATGTCTTCAAATTCTTCTTCTGCTTCCCGAAAAAGGAAGAAATCACCAATAACTCAAGTCCGTCCAATTACTAATCAGTTGCATCAAAATATTCCGCAGCAACAACAACAACAAATACAAAGTCCCAATTTTCGGGGCTATACAATACCAAAAGTAACTAATTCTAATGTTCCTCAACAACAACAACAATTAAGTCCACAAGAAACGGAGGCATTACAAGCAAAACAGGCGTTAGCAGATGAGGTAGATTTTAAAATAAAATTTTATTTAAAAATTAATTTATTAATAAATTAATCAGATAGCCGAAAAACGACGATTGCGTGAAACTACCAGACCAGCAAATCTACATCTATTAACACTAATTGATCCAATTACAAATTTGACGAGTACTGACGTATTAATGCTAGCATGGAAAAAGAATGATATATTTGAGTGAGTTTTTTTGGGGAAGGGGGGGGGGGGGGGGTAAATCTTAAAAAAATAAATTTAAGAGAGTTAAAAGGCATAGTGGTATTTGTGAAGCGTGCGTTAACAACAAAAAATAAATACGACAGGGGAGATCTTGTAGTGGAGGTCGGACAGACTCACGAGAAAGAGCGCATTTCAATTTTCGGCTGGAACGAGCAGGCATCGAAATTGGAGACAGCAAATATTAATGATGCAATTTAATTAAGTTCTTATAAATTTTAAATGTTTGTTAATTACAGATAGTGGTGTTAAAGAACTTGATCGTTGTACCTGAGGACAATGAAAGAATAAACTGGGCAGGATCGATAGATTTCAAATTAAAATTTTCAAAAAGCTCAACTTTAACAATTGTAGAACAAGGGCAAATTGCGGCGTCTCAGCAGACTACAAATATGATAGGTAGTTAAAAATTTTAATTGTGTTTTTCGGAAAAAAAATCTGAGTGAATAAGCGAAAATTTTATTTAAATTTTTATTTTAAAAAATTGTATTTAAATTTTTTTAAAAAAATATTATTTAGAGGAAGGTCCTTCAACATCTGCAACAAATCAAAATCCTCATGTTGGTAATGTGCAGAACTCTTCTTATGCCAGCAATACAACTGCTGCTATTTACAGAGATGTCGAATATGTGAGTATTTATAAATCCTATGGTTTAACGTTTTACATGTACCGTTTGAATTAGAACTTTATTTAAAAAAATACAACATTAAAATTGAATTGTTATTAATTTAAAATTTAATAAAAAAAACTTTTATTACAATTTTCAAGGATTTTGAAGATTTATGATTTGCTTATTTACTAAAAAGAAGAAAAGAACAAGTTAAAATTGAATTTATTTAGAAATTAAAATTAAATTGAATCAAACTTATTAAAATTTTTTCATTAATCTTTAACTTTCGATTAATTTACTTTTATGTTTGCAAAAATAAAAATTGTACGTTTGTTTATTATTTGAACTGAAATAGAAATTTGAAAAAAATTTTTAAAAATTAAAAAAATTGTTTTGAGAAAATTTTTTTTTGAAATAATTTATTAAGTAATATGAAATACAGATTCGAAAAAAATTTATAAATTGTTTGAAAATTTTTTTTAATTTTTGTAAAAATTTGATTTTGTTTAGTAATTAAAATGAAATATAGATGTGAAAAAAATCTTTAAAAAATTTGAAACCTGCTTGAAAAAAGTTTTTTGAATTTGCTTATTAACTTAATGAAATAGAGATTTGAAAAAAATTAAATAAATTTTTCAAATGATTTGAAAAAAATTTGTTATACTGAAAAAAATAAAAAAAAATTTTTTAAACTGAAAAAAAATTTTTTAAATAAAAGTTTTTAAAAATGATTTGAAAAAAATTTGTAACTTGCTTGAAAAAAAATTTGTTTGAATTTGTCTATTAACTAAATGAAATAGAGATTGGAAAAAAAATTTAAAAAATTTTGTTAATCATTTGAAAAAAAATTTTTTAATTGTGAAAAAATTTGAGATTGTTTATTATTTAAAATGAAATTGAAAAAAGGATTTGAAAAAAATCTAAAAAAATGAAATTGTTTATTATTAAAAATGAATCAAAATTTGAAAAAAAGCTTTAAAATATTTAAAAATTTTTATAGTATTTTGATAAAATAAAACTTGGTTTTGAATTAAATATATCATGATAAAAATATTTATTTTCATTCTTGTCTAAAATAAAAATTTTATATTTTATGAAATGGAATTTGATTATTCTTTTTAGTTTTTTAAAAAATAAAATTTTATTTCTGAATGTGTATTATTTAAAATGAAATAGAAATTTGAAAAAGGAAAAAAATCTAAAAAAATTTTAAACATTGATTAGAAAATTTTTTTAAAAATTTTGAAAAATAATTTGAAATTGTTATCATTTAAGATGGAATAGAAATTTAAAAAAAAGCTTAAAATTTTTTTATAAGTTTTATTGGTATTTAGATAAAATAAAACTGAATTTTGAATTGGCATGAAATTGAATTTAAAAATTGAATTTACATTTATATGAACAAATATTCTAGTATCTTGTTTAAATTTTGTTTTTGTTTAAAATTGAATAAGCTTACTTATAACGAATTATTACAAATACGATAATATTATTGCTTTCACAATAATTTTTTTAATGAAATTTTTTCAAATGATATATCAATATATTAGAATAAAAATTCGAATTTAATCAAAAGAAATCAAACGGTACATGATATTTCAAAATTTTAGGGGTATTTAATTTAATCATTAGTATTTACTCTTTTAATTACTCTGACAGGGATAAGTGAAAAACGTTAGATAGTTTTACCTACTCTCTAATATAAATACTCACTAGCTTTTTTTTTAAAAAAAAAGCTAGGGGGCCTTTTTTTGTAGGAAGTAGTGTCACCTTCTGCTGAATTGGCACAACAGTCGCTTCTTGCCGAATCAAATCCGCAAGTAAATTTTATTCTTTTTTTACTATTTTTTAACAAAAAATATAATAGAGATTATATGGTAATCCTGGACATACTCCCCCAGCTCCAGGAATTGTAAGTTATGTAGTACCACCAGACGATCCTGATGCAATTTATTTTCGCGGAGAACGCCGCATTCATGATATTGATTTACCAAAAAAAGGACTTAATGGTAAAGAGCGAAACATATTATTAGCCTCCCGTGTGCAACTGGCAGCAACATATAAATCAAAAGAAGAGGATCCTCTTTGCGGAGTATGTGTACGTGACTTTATGCCGAAACAAAGCGTAATTTTTTTACCATGTTCCCATAAATTGCACAAAACGTGTTTTTGGGATTTATCCCGTTTTTATAGACATTGTCCTACTTGTAAATACGATATGGGTCGGGGCCTACAAATTCCAGAGTAGGGGATAACTGATTTTTAGTCAATTAAATTATAAAATGAGAGTAGAACATTAAAAACTAGAAAGTTCTCATTTTGCAATTTAATTGACTAAAAATCTTTTGTGCCCTACTCTGGAATTTGGAGGCTATACACGTCGGATTACTTGTCTTGCACGTGTCCAAAAAAATTTTTTTTGAAAATTTGATATTTTGGACACGTACTAAGTAGACAAGTACCCCGACGTGTAACAGTGTCCCCACACGTCAAAGAAGTCAAGTTTTTTTCTGAGTGGATTCTTTAACGTGCGGGGAAATTTTTTGTATTTTTTATATAATTAATAATAATAACCACACCCCAATTAAAAAATATAATGAGTATTTTTTATATTTTCCCCCTCACTTTAAAAGAATCTAAGCTTTTTGAGTGTATTCTTTTAACGTGAGGGGGAAAAAAGTATTTAATTTGTTTTTAATAACATTTAACCACACCACTTTTATTTTTCAAATATTTTTTGGTAAAATTTGTACACCAATTTTTATTTTTCAATATTATTTTAACCACTTTGATTAACCACACCGCTTTTTTTCATATATTTTTTTTGTAAAAAAATCGTAAACCAATTTTTATTGTTCAATATTATTTTAACCACTTTGAAAAAATTTTTATTGATATTATGTGTAAATAAAATTAATGTAT